ATGCTCTTTCCACAGCAACATACCTGAGAGCTAACTGAAGCCAAAGACTCCATTCTCCTCATGCCTTTTCTTATATTCTTTGTAAAGATATCTATAGAACCGTACCATTTTAGAGAAGGAAAAGTCCTTAGTGAGTTTCTGAAAAACTCTATGATGTGCTGTAATATCCTCTTATAAAAAAGAAATATTCCACGGCTTTTACTCAAAAATTTTTGTCACAGATTTTTAGCCCTTATTGACAATAAAAAATAAATGTTTTTTTTCATAAAATTATTTTGTTTTATTTCAAGCTGTTAGCCAGTTTGCAATGGAAACATAAAAAGAAGCATTTTCACTTTGAAGGGTTAAGACTTCTGGAGAGAACAATTTATAAAATGAAATAATCAGCTAATTCACATGGCCCTTTTTATTCCTCCCCTTGCAATCATAGTACTTTTATTGTTTTGTTTTGCTTGCTTTTTAATACAAAAAAAAGGACAAAAAATGATTACTCATTCAATTCCTATAAAAGGTGCTATATATCCCAGTTCAGTGCTATATATCCTCAGTAACTGGAAACTCAATAAATACAATCAAATTAATTTAAATGCCATTGAGGGAATTTTCTTCTCTATTTTAAAAACATTTTTCATACTTAGAATTTTTTTACAACTTTCTGAGGTATAATCACATAAGATAGGTGGCACTGAAACTATAAAATTTGAACAGTTTTGACATATGTGAAGAAATCATCATTAAATCAAGACAATGAACACATTCATCACTAGTTTCCTCAGGCTCCTTTAGAATCCTTCCCTTATCTGCCCATTGCCCCCACTATAGTTTGCATTTTCTAGATTTTATATAAATGGAATTGTATGCTATGTACTCTTTAATAGGCTCCTTTTTAGTCAGGCTTTTTTCACTCAGCATAATTGCTGAGTTTAACTCATGTTGTCTATATCGACAGTCCATTGATTACTAAGTAGTATGCCATTTTATGAATCTACCACAATTTGTTTATTTACCTTTTGATGGATATTTGTGTCATTGCCAGTTTTTTGGCTCTTCCAAATAGAGCTGCTATGAACATCTGTGTATAAATCTTTATGGCTATGTTTTCGTTTCTCTTGGGTAGATAGATACCTAAGAGTAAAATGGCTTAGCCATACAGTAGGTGTATGTTTAACTTTTAAGAAACTTCCATACTATTTTACATTCCCACAAGTAGGGGGGGAAGAGTTCTAGTTGTTGCAAAACTTTGCCAGTATCAGGTATGATCAGAGTTTTTAAATTTTAGCTGTTCTGCTGGACGAGTAGGGGTATCTCATTGTGGTTTTAATTTGCATTACCCTACTAATAATATCGAGCATCTTTACGTACTTATTTGACATCCATATATCTTTTTTGGCGAAATGAAGGTTTAAATCTTTTGCTCATTTTGAATTGGATTGTTTGTCTTATTATTGAGTTGCAAAAGTTCTTTATATACTCTAGATACAAGTCTTTCGTCAAATATACGATTTGCAACTGTATACTCCCTGGTTGTGATTTGTCTTTTCATTGAAGAACAAGTTTTTAATTTTGAGGAAGTTTGATTTATTGATCTTTTTCTTTTGTAGTTCATGTGTTTTTGTTCTAGTTAAGGAACTTTTGCCAGTTGAATGCCATCAGGGAAATTTTCTTCCGTATTTTGAATAACATCTCTTAAACTTTGAATATTTAAAATATGCTCCTTGGTCATGAACATGCTTAAAGAATCTCTCCTCAGCTCCCTCACCTGGTGAGACCGCTCTTATAAAACATTTGAACATAAAACATTAAAAAATTAATGTTAATATTAACATTATTATTAAAATTAAATATTAATATTAAAATTGAGAGTCAAAATAACTTAATGTTTTTCTTTTTTCAAATTTTTCAAATTGCAAAATTCCTTACCATTGGGAACACAGAAGAAATAATTAGAAAATGTGAGACATGAAAGTTGGATAGTCCTGGTCTCAATCTGTCAGATGGCTGAGTGCTTGCTTCTTCTATTCTGCTCTACCTTGGGAATACAGTCATGTGCTGCTTAATAACAGGGATACTTCTGAGAAATGTGTCATTAGGCAATTTCCTTGCACAAACATCATAAAGTGCACTTACACAAACCTAGATGGTATTCGCTTACTACACACCTAGGCTATAATGTATAAACTATTGCTCGTAGGCTACAAACCTGTACAGTATGTTCCTGTACTGAGTACTGTAGGCAATTGTTATACAATGGTAAATACAGTACTTTTATATGACTGGCAGCGCAATTAGGTTCATTTATACCACATCATCACAAACACATGAGTAATGTCTTATGCTAAGACCTTTAAGTTCCCAAAAAGGTGTTCAAAGCTCTGGGCAGAGGAGTGTGTCTTGGGCCCACAGGCTCTAGGCTCCTCCCCAACTGAACCTGGGCACATTGGGGGAGGGACAGAAGGAGGAGAGAGGGAAGGAAGGAGGGAGGAATGGAAGTAAGGAGTGAGTCCATGAGAAAGTCAGGTAGGACATGAAAGGCCACCTCATAGTCAACCTTATAGCCACACTCCGGGGCCTGCTGGTTTTACATTAGACATCACAAAGTAATAGGAATTTTTCAGTTGTTATAATCTTATGGAATCACTACTGCGTATTTTGTTGAGCAAAACATTAGGCAGCACATGACTGTACTTATCACCTTTTATTTCCATTAAATTCTATTTGGATGGAGGTAAAGAACCTTTTACTACCTTAATGGCTCTCACTAGAGTCCTCCAAGGGAGAGAAGTGTTCTTGTTGGAAAGAATTTTAATAAGTGCTTGAAGTTTTTTCTGCTTTATTACCTATGGCAGTCTGCTTGTTGTCCCCAACATTTTCTCACCCCTTCCACAGAAACCATAGATTTTTTACTAGGCCATGACTACCAAGAATAAAACTTATATTCCCAGCATCCTTTGCAGATGTGTGTGGCATGGGGTTATATTCTGGATGTAACCAGAATTGTTGTATGCAACTTCTGGGAAATGTTCTTAAAATGTAGGGGCATGCCCTTCTCTCTTCCT